AGTCTTTAAGCTTTGAGAACTCGACACCCTAGAAGAGATAGCCATTAAACACTTAGAAAAACCCCAAGATCGAAACCTTTTTTACCCCTTAATCCTCTCAACCCCGAACCCAAATGAACTACTCACTACACATAGGATAAATCAAGCAAAGCATAGAAAAGGAAATGATGAACATGAAAAGAAAACTATTTTAAGCTCAAAATGATTCGATTACAAAGCTAAAGAAAAACTCAAGGTTTGACAATGGTGGATTTCTCCAAAACCAGAGAGAAAAGCATAAAAAAGATAAGGATGAAAAGTTGTGTGGGAAAAGGACGTCGCCGCCTTCCCAAAATGGCCAAAACAAGCTGATGGTCCCCCCCTCGCTAGCGCCCAAAAGTGGTTGAAAGGATAGAGATCGACTCCGGGATCGAGCGGCTCTCTCGATCATCTTCGGACATCGTGTCTTCAACTCGATCTATGTCTCGATCATCTTCGGCGGATCGAGTGTTGCATCTGATCTTGGTATCGATCTTCGGTTGGATCGAGTGGTGTACTCGATCCGGCTCTCGCTCTGCATGGCGTCATTTACGTCTGTACCGTTTGATCGACTGCTTCACTCGATCTTTGTCTCGATCATTTTTCTTGGATCGCCTGGTCTTCTCAATCTTCTGGTCGATCTCATCCTAGATCGACCTGCCATGCTCGATCTGTTCCTCGATCTCTGATCCTTAGCAAATATCCGAGCTTCCACGAACCGCTGCAACAGCTTCGGCACATTCACGAACCTCCACGACTCCAAACAGCCAGAAACAACCTGAATGTGATGCAAAATGCAAGGAACCTGCGTATGCTGGTGCAAGAATGCTCTAGGACTCTAAGTGATGCAATCTAACCTAAAATATGATGTAAATGCATGAAAAGCTAACTAATGTGTATGCAAAATGTATGTAATATGCAGTAACATCAGGTTGCCCAGCAGAAGTAAGGCTATATAATCCACATGAAAAGAAACTTGATTCAAGGACTGTCAGTGGATTCTTCATTGGCTATCCTGAAAAATCAAAGGGATATACATTTTACTGTCCTAAACATAGTACGAGAATAGTTGAGACAGGCGATGCTAGGTTCATTGAGAACAGCGAATCTAGTGGGAGTGGTGAAACAAGGAAAGTGGACATTCAAGAAGTCCAAGTTGAAATTCTTTCCTCTATAGTTTCACCAATGGTAGTTGTTCCTATTGTTTCATCACAGTCAAATGACATAATAGAACAACATGTTGGTGTACCAACCTCATTAGCTGAAAGTACAGTTAATGAACCTGTCAGAATTCTAGAAGAGAATAACATACCACAAGAACCATTAAGGCGATCAGGAAGGGATAGACGATCTGCCATTTCAGATGACTATGTGGTTTATGCTATTGAAAGTGAATGTGACTTAAGCATTGATAAGGACCCGATCTCATTCCAAAAAGCCATGAAAAGTGACAATTCTGATAAATGGTTGGTTGCCTCAGAAGAAGAAATAATGTCTATGGGTGTTAACAAAGTTTGGGACTTAGTAGAGTTGCCTGGCGGTTTCAAGACCGTTGGTTCTAAATGGGTCTTTAAGACTAAACGTGACTCGAAAGGTAATATTGAAAGGTACAAGGCTCGCCTTGTTGCTAAAGGTTTCACCCAAAAGGATGGCATCGACTATAAAGAGACCTTCTCTCCAGTTTCAAAGAAGGATTCTCTAAGGATTGTTTTGGCTTTGGTGGCTCAGTATGATCTTCTCATTGTAAAGAAATTATAGAGTTGGAAATGGTTTGTGATACATGGAAGGAATCATATCGTATAATGATGTGTGACCGCCATGATTCAATTATTTCTTATTTTATATGGTAATTAAAAGTTATATTAGCTTGAGTTAAGAACTGTGTTTCTATTATAAAAGGAGAAACACAATTTAACCAAACATTACAACTTTTTGTACACACCAACACAACTTTTCATATATATCATTACAACCTTTCATATATATATATGGAAAACTTAGAAAGGATCTTATAATAAGATAAGGGAGGAGGATTATCAATACACCCAATTCTAATCTCTTTCATCGAAACTGATCCATCACAGTATCGTCTTTTATAATAGAATTCATAACTTTGATATTAACATGATCTTTATATTAAGCCAAAAGACACATATGTCACATATAAGAATAATTATTCTTACATTCTCCCACTTGACTTTTGTGTCAACTTGCTGGTTTAATAACTATAATGCGCACTTTTATATCAAGCTAATATAACTTTTAATTACCATATAAAATAAGAAATAATTGAATCATGGCAGTCACACATCATTATACGATATGATTCCTTCCATGTATCACAAACCATTTCCAACTCTATAATTTCATTACAATGAGAAGAACCTTAATTCTCAAACTAAATATATGTTATTTATAAACCTTAAGTGTATACACATTCTGTAATAATAACATACTGTATAAACCAGAAACATAACTTTAAGTGAATTCATAGTGTCATACACCTAATGAGCATTTCATAACTAAAACAGCAAGGTTTTATCTATAATACCCATACGCTCTACATGGCCAATGAACACCTTGGGTGGTAGACCTTTAGTTAACGGATCCGCTACCATCATATCCGTTCTTATGTGCTCAAAGGACACTCTACGTTTCTGTACTTCTTCTTTGACAGACAAGTACTTTAACTCCATGTGTTTAGCACCCTTCGAGTACTTGTCATTCAAAGAAGAAGTACAGAAACGTAGAGTGTCCTTTGAGCACATAAGAACGAATATGATGGTAGCGGATCCGTTAACTAAAGGTCTACCACCCAAGGCTGTTTAATTCACCGTAAGTTGAACGTAAAGGTTTCTCATTGATACGAATTCATATACGGTAACATGAAATAAATTTACGGTATCATAACTGAATGCATGAATAAGTACATGGATCATTATATGATATACTCGAAGGGTCTGTGTATAATTAAGCAAATTATGGGTCCATGAAAGGTCACGATGGTTCATATGTATTCAGGAATGGTTGTTCGTTTAAAGTTTCAATGTGAAGTCTGTGTTTACGGTTTGCAGTTGTGATGTTTGCATTGAATGTATTATTTGAACAAGTGCCTAAATCTGGGTGTACGGCTTGAAATCTGGGTTTACGATTTCTCTTGTTTTCTGGGAATTGATCGATGATGGCATCTTATTGTTATGATACATAGAAACAAGTTCAGTAAAATGCAATGTCCTAAAAATGAATTGGAGCATAAGGAAATGGAAAGAATTTCATATGCATCAGTGGTTGGGAGTTTGAACTATGTTCAGACATGTACTCGACCAGATATCACATTTGCAGTTGGTATGTTAGCTCTGATACCAAATGTAGAATTACTATTAATGATTTCAATCATGAAATCTATCCTTAATGATCTAGATTTGTTTTAATTCAACCCTAACAGTTTTTTATAGAGGAAGAAAGAAACACTAACTTTGATCCATGTTTTTCTTGGACTTGGTATGAGATCAATACTTAAATTGATCTTCTCCTCCTTAATCTCCAAACACCTTATGATCCCTTTTGATGGATAAGGAATCAAAATCCTTTCACTTTCCTTCACTTCTCCCTCACGATTGTTTATATGTGTGTTATTATATTTTAACGTTAGTTGCTTAGTTAAATTGTGTTTCTCTTTTTATAATAAAAATTACAGTTCTTAACCAAACATTACAACCTTTTGTATACATCAATATAACTTTTTATATATATCATTACAACCTTTCATATATATATATGGAAAACTTAGAAAAGATCTTATAATAAGATAAGGTAGGAGGGTTATCAATACACCCAATTCTAATTTCTTTCATCGAAACTGATCCATCACAGTATCGTTTTTTATATTAGAATTCATAACTTTGATATTAACATCATCTTTATATTAAGCCAAAAGATACATATGTCACATATAAGAATAATTATTCTTACAATTTGCTCATCCTTGTGCTCCACAGACACGTCATGTCTCAGCAGCACAACTCAAGCTGTTCTCAGTGGATTCATCTTGTGCCACTGCATCAGCTTCGTGTTCCACCACAGAAGAGTCTATTCTCCACAATTGTACTGCTTTCGACACGTTAGTGTGTTCCAACGATTATGAATCTGTTCCAGCACACTCTATACTTTTATCTGCGTGTGTATATACTCGAAATCTTCATCAGAAAGAGACATATAGCAGTAGCTACACCACAGAATTAAAATAACACTTTCCCTACATTTTTGCATCACATTTTTATATGGTTATATACTTATATATATATATAATATAAAACAATAATTTAAAATAAAACAAAACCCTATCAACACCTCACCTTATACATTCTAAGAGTTGGAACATATAACACATTGTTTGTTATGAGCTTGTGTTCATGTAAGGACACAACACTCGGTTCAAATTATAAATTGGCCTATGAAAAAAATTCAAACTATAGTAATTTTTTTTTGATTATATACAGATATTTTTAGTGCTCTTAAATTTTGGGGACCATAAACAAATTGCTTCACACATTTTATATATATATATATAGAATAGCACTATGAAATTTTGATTAATACAGATCGATGTTTTTAGGGGCTCTTAAATTTTGGGGGACCATAAACAATTGCTTCATATATACTGCACCTCCCAGAGCCTGTCTTGATTGTATTGATCGACGTGTTCGCATACAAGACGTCCATATTATAGAATTGGAAAAGTTTTAATGGATCAAATAATAATTTAATGTTCGTCAGGTCATAGTATGATAGGACATATCAATGCAACCATAAACCAATACATAAACGTGTATACATACTATTTTTGTGTCGGCCATGTATATTCTTAACTCGTTATAGCTCGTTATATAGCAACCTAGTTTCTTGCATGAATTACTCACTCAGGATAAAAAAAAATCCATTACAGTTTTGTTGACAGACCAAAAAAAAACTTTTTGTCTACTATGATGGCGATGAACATGGGCTTGCTTGAAATCTTCATAACATTCATTTGCTTCCTTGTCTTCCTAGGTTTCTTGTACCACAAGAAAACTCCGAAGCATTTGCCCACGAACTGGCCGGTACTTGGGATGCTTCCGGGTCTGCTCGTCCATGTCAATCGTATCTATGACGCGATCACCGACCTCCTTGAAGCCTCCCATATGACGTTTTGTTTCATAGGGCCATGGCATAGTGGAACTGACATATTGATCACTGTTGATCCGGCGAATGTCCGCTACATCCTAAGCTCAAATTTCGATAATTACCCCAAAGGGATGGAGTTCCAGGAGATCTTTGAAGTCTTGGGAGAATCTATTTTCAACGTTGACTCGGAGTTGTGGGAGGATATGAGGAACTCGTCTCATGCCATCTTTGGCAATCAAGATTTCCAAAGGTTTTGGGTGAGTACAAGCGTAAACAAATTGAAGCAAGGGCTTGTTCCTATCCTTGCAAACGCTGCTGAGAAAAACATCCTCGTCGACTTGCAAGATTTGTTTCACAGATTCTTGTTCGATACATCTTTGATCTTGATGACCGGGTATGATCCAAAATGTCTCTCCATCGAAATGCCCAAGGTTGAGTTCAGTGATGCGGTGGATGGTGTTGCAGATGGTCTTTTCTATAGACATATGAAGCCGGTTTTCTTCTGGAAGCTCCAATATTGGATTGGAGTTGGAGTTGAGAAGAGTATGAGAAGAGGCATCGCGGTTTTCGATCAATTGCTCGAGAAGATCATATTGGCTAAACGAGAGGAGATCAAGAGTCATGGGATTCGTGGCTCAAAAGGAGAGGCCATGGACGTTTTAACGTATTACATGACTATAGACACGACCAAGTACAAACACTTGAAACCGAGTAACGATAAATTCATCAGAGACACTATTTTAGGGGTTTTGATAGCGGCAAAAGACACAACAAGCTCAGCTCTCACTTGGTTTTTCTGGCTTCTCTCGAAGAACCCTGAAGCAATGAACAAGATCCGGCAAGAGATTAACAACAAGATGCCGAAGTTTGATCCAGCAGATTTCGACAAGCTTGTGTATCTAGACGGTGCCGTGTGTGAGACGCTAAGGCTATACCCATCGGTTCCGTTTAACCACAAGTCACCGGCAAAGCCAGACGTGCTTCCAACTGGGCATAGAGTCGATGAGAATTGGAAGGTAGTAATCTCTATTTACGCATTGGGTAGGATGAAGTCTGTTTGGGGAGATGATGCAGAAGATTTCAGACCAGAGAGATGGATTACAGACAGTGGAACGTTGAGACATGAACCTTCGCATAAGTTCTTGGCGTTTAACGCTGGTCCAAGAAGTTGCTTGGGGAAAAAGTTAACGTTCTTGCAGATGAAGACAGCGGCTGTAGAAATCATACGAAACTATGACATTAAGCTCGTTGAAGGGCACAAAACCGAACCTGTTCCTTCTGTTCTTCTTCGCATGCAACATGGTCTGAAAGTTAGCGTCACTAAGATCTAGCGAGTGATAGTTGACTTGTGTTTTATGATTAGAAAAATAAACAAACAATTGTCAAGGGATTATGGGCAAAAGTCCAAAGCCTCTTGTACAGTAGCTGTCAAGATTTCAATTAAAGATGCATGTGTTTAGAAAATCAGCTTTAGAGTTTTAAAATCTTCCTCCAAATCCATGAATCTTAGGGGATTTAGCCTTAAATCATTCAAGTGTAATGTAATCTTAGGAGATTTGAACTAGCCATTTCAGTGAATATTGTGTGCTTAATCTTTAGGTTTGATATTTTGAATTCTGCCTTTTTCGCTTTTATTTTTATTTTGAATTACATGAAACTAATTTCGCTCACACAACGGGCCTTGGACAAATACCACTCAGATTTTGCAGACAAAAAGATAGGTGGGAATTGAATATTCATAGACCAACAAAAACTAGATTTTCAGGTGAGAGATCACGAGAATGATACAACCTATTTAATACCATCTGCTAAATCATTTTTGGCCCACGTTGGCCCATTTGCTTTAGTCGCCAAAACGCATACGGTGTAAGTCGGCGGACACGTGGCTTCGTCGGAGAACTGCAGATGATCACTGTCCCTCATGGTTTCTGCGGTTGAGAGACCTTTTGTGAATTTAGGGTTACTGCAAGTGCTCTCTGCGTGGCCTAATCAATCCCATAGCCAAAATAAAACTCAGCCATCATAAAAGGAAACTCTAATGTTAATATTAAAAATTCTTTTTGTTTTGTTTTGTGATAAAAGGAAACTCGATGATTAATAAAAGGAAAGTCGACGATTAAGTGATAAAAAAAAGGGTCATTTCCTTTTTACAATAAAGTCTGTAATTTCCTTTTTACAATAAAGTCTTTTGCCTATAAGTACTGCGGTATGTATGACTGAATAATCATCAAAACAAATCGTTCTATCAATTTCAAAGTATTTGTGATTCAAATTTCTTTTACTTTTGAAAACAATTTCTGTTTTAAATGGATCAAGATCCAGAGTTTGCCGTTTCTCTCTTTTGGGATGCGGGAAACGCTCGACTTCTGCCTAATCAGATTCCGTTCTTGATCGCCAACATTGAAGATTCATTGAGAACTGCGGACAAGAGATATTACCTCGCTAAGAAGAAGGTCGTAGTAGCAAATTCGAGCCTTGACTTCATCTCTGAGAATAGAGCATATCTGTTAGAGCAAGGTTTCGTTATAGTCGATGCACCCCATCGAGAGCGTGATTGCAACTACACTAACTGTAAGGTGAAAGTTGAGCGATTTGATGTGGCTAAAAACATGATATTAGATCAAGTGCTAGATCAAGTGTTGGAGAAAGAGTTGTCTCGAAACGTACTAATCATCTCTGGCGATTCGGATTTTAGTACAACACTACAAATGTTGGAACGCAATAAGAGGAATACACTTAAAGCTGTTAACGAGGATGCAACACCAGATTATATAGAGAGTGCACAACATGCATGGTTATGGGATGATATGGCGACTCGAGCAGCAAAAACAATTCCATTAAACCTAGTTTAAGCGTTAATGCTAATTTTTTTTCTGTTTCTGTTCTTTGTACTTATGCTTTGGTTATTCAAATTTAATAAAGAGTATTTTGTAGTAAACCTGACTTCATTGTGTTGTTAACTCTTTGCTTAATAAAGAGTTTTGTACTACTATTTGCCCAAAACAAAAGAGATCTCGTTGTTTTTCACTTTCACACAATTTAGGAAGAAACCGTACTTTCAAAACTCTGAAACAAACATACCAAAATGCCAATATTGCTCTATACTAAAGTTGTTACACGACTGTACTATTCCTTACTTGTGAGATAAGAAAACCTGAAACCAATTTATAACATTATCAATATCATCTTCACCATCAACATCATTATCCTTATCATCCTCGGAATCACCATCAGAAACCTGATCCAAGAAGCTATGGTGATGATGATGAGAGCTCCAATCAGGAGAGAACGTCTTCGGCAACGTCTCAGTGAGCTCACCACCAGAAGCTTCATTTAGACCAGTGAACAGCGGTTTCCATATCAACGATCATGCTTGCTTCCACCATTTTCTTGCAGATCGACATTACTCCTGAAGCGAGGCCATAAGGCAATGATACACAGCTTTGTCTCCATCGCCTTCATTTCCTCGTAGCAGTTTAAGGCTTTCTCTGGAAGACCATGCTTTTATTAAGGTCGTGTACGTCTTGATGTTTGGTCTGACTCCTAATGCTTCCTTTGCTTGGATTGTTTGTGCCAAACATTTTCAAGACTTAGACAACCCGTGAAAGCAGACGTAAGGTTCTGCTTCTTGTCCCTGCCACTCTCAACATTGGTCAACGTGACTTATTTCTTTTCGAAAACCCAAAACATGATGAAGAGTTTCTGAAGGCTAAATCTCTTAAAAGATTGAGTTAGCTCAAGTCTAATACTCACGGTAAGATAGAGCCCTAGATAATAATGAACTAACTTAGAAAGAAGTGGTCAGCATATCTTATCACCAAACTAGCTAAGAAAGGAACCCATCTCATTGCATTTTGTTCACAAAACCCTTTCCACTTCAAAGTAGCTCTGTCGTATTTAAAATTGTAGCATCAGTAACACGGCAAACATTTTAGACACTTTATACCAACTATAACAAGAGATTGACCGTGGAAACATGACCTTATAGTAGTTAAGCAGCTTACATTCAGTTCATCCTCATTATAGAAGCAGGGATCCACAAATTAATGAATACATTGTTCGAGTATCTAATAATGAAAAATGAACTTACAGAGTTCATATCAAGTCCCTCTTTAAGTATCTTGTACTACCACAGTGAGTGAGAGTGATCCCGTGATAGATATCCCAATAAAAGCTGCAACATTGGAGAGAAGAGAACAATATGAACCAAAAAAACTAACATAGTAGCTAATCAAAATGCTTTTCTTGTACTTCTTTCGAAACAGCAAGTAAACACTGATACTTCCAAAAAACTCATCAAATCAAAAAATGGTGCATTACTAAAAGCACTATAACAATTATTAGCATCATCAGGAAGATCATGTCAAGATTATTACCAGAAAACCGGTCTTTTGCCAAATCAAAACTGGCTTAGTGATCTGTAGAACCCGAGTGTCTCATGTTTCACCAATTACATGAAATTAGATTGTTTGAATTTTTCCTGGGAAGAAACAAAAAAAACCAAACAGTTATAGAGTCGAGTAAGCTTTGAAATAAATGAAGAAGAATATACTTTACTAAGCTTCTCAACATTTGGTACAAACTCCTCAAACACACAAGGCGCAACTTCATCTGCAATTATTTGGTTTATATGAAAAGATGAATCAAATCTTTCGCACACATTTATAGGACAAATCGAAATTGAACTAAACGAGAAATATACTAACGCTTCAACATTAAAATGCCAAAATTTAGCAGGATTTTCCGTTAATGTAACATGAGTTTTTCAGATTTGAGATCATTAAGGCAGAAACTGAAATCGAAAGAAACCCAATTTTCAGTGACTCTAAAATCAAATAAAAGCCCAACAAAACCCAAGGAGAAACACAAACATTTGGCAAAATTCACTGAAATATGGCCGTATTCTTCGTTTTCGGTACAAATATTGAGAAGGTACTTTGCCACATAGTCTGTCGTCGGCTTTACCGTATGAATACTTTTGCCGCCGCCACTGTGAGTCGTCATTTTCTATAAAATCGTTGGTGAGAACCGCAATAGCGGGGGACAAAGTATGAATGACAAAAAAAAAAAAAAAAAAAAAAAAATATGGGTCCAAGCCCGGCCCATAATTACATAAAAGCCCAGAAGAGTTCGACGGACTTCAGACGGTAAATTAAATTTGTTAATTTGCCAGCGACGGACGTCAAACGGGAAATTTGCAGCCTTCTTGTTCAGCTCCGCTTCCGACAATCAAATACCACTTCTCCTTATATCCTTTTAAGATTTCGGAACCGGCCTGCACTGTGTTCAGCTCCGCTGCTTACTGCCGCAATCGGATGCCGGAGCCGGAGATGCATACGTCGAGTTTTAGTTTATATCAGAATCTCGAGTCTGTTTCTCTCAGGTGATACAGCTCTCGTTCTTTTAGCATCCCCGATCTCGAATTCTGAGAGATATGCTTCTTTGATTCCTAGGGTTTGTTAGAATAGTCGAATCGGTCCATAAATTAGAGAATTTGGGGTTAGGGTTTTTTCCTTTAATGGCTTCTCTGTAGTTTGGCAAAGAATTAGCGAATTTGGGGGTTAGGGTTTTGTTTGATTAGAGAGTTTGCGAGATGAAAGGAAGGTCGTATAGGTTCTCGAGCACGGAGAATCACGATGATTGGGTTGATGGATCCTGGACTGTGGATTGCGTCTGCGGTGTGAACTTCGACGATGGAGAAGAGATGGTGAATTGTGATGATTGTGGGGTTTGGGTTCATACTCGTTGCTCTCGTTATGTTAAAGGAGAGGAGCTTTTCACTTGCGACAAGTGTAAGAGCAAGAACAACGTCAACGACATCGAGGAGACCGAGGTTGCTCAGTTACTGGTTGAGTTGCCCAACAAGACCTTGAGGATGGAGAATTCTTGTAATCGGAATGTTCCTCTGAAGCGTCCTTTCAGGTTATGGACGGAGATACCGACGGAGGAGAAGGTTCATGTACAAGGGATCCCGGGCGGTGAACCGTCTCTCTTTGAAGGTTTCTCGTCGGTTTTCTCCCGTGAGCTGTGGAAGTGTACTGGTTATGTGCCGAAGAAGTTTAACTTCAAGTATAGAGAGTTCCCGTGCTGGGATGAGCAAGAGAAAGATGAGATTGAGAATGGGTATCAAGAGGAAAACGGTGCGGGGGTTCTGTTTTCTATGTCCAAGGACAATGTGATTGCTGCTCCTGTGAGTGCTTTGGTTGCTATGAAGAGCCTTGATTATAAAGGAGCCAATGACTTGAAGCTTGGTTGCGCAAAAGACGGTAACAGTTGGGACTCTGGCGAATTGAAACGTTCTCAGAGTGCTTTGAAGAAGGATAAGACTAAGAGGCTGCTTCGTCCTTTGATTACGAATAAACGGAGAAAAGAACTGTTCGGAGCTTCAAAAGAGAGGGCGAAGAAGAAGGTTGAAGTTGCTAACAAAGAAGGGGATGATAAGAAAGTTTTCGCCGGTAAAACAGGTCAGTGAAACTACTTATTAGACTTTAATCTGCCGTTATGTGCCTCACATTTAGAATCTTGTATCCATTGTATTAACAAATTTCTTTTTGTTTTCTTTCAAATTACTAGCAGTTCGACCTACCAGTGATTCTAAACCATCTGAATCTCGTAAGGACGTAGAAGCTGAAGGTTTTACTAGCGATGTTGGGGTCACTAAGAGTGAGAAGTCCAAGAGAGCTGCTTTTGAAGGATCTAGTGATGGAGGCCTTGCTCAGAAAACTGGCGGTGGTGAATCTGGTAATACAGAAATTGGTGTTGAATGCTCCAGAGAACAGAATCTTTCTGATGTTCATGCTAATGGTGCTGGAAAACAGGAAGAGAAAGCTGGTCATCATTTCAGAATTGTGCTTAAAGGCTCTGCAACGAATGATCCTTCTGTCGTCGGAGGAAAAGATGTTCCACACAACGAGGCTAACAAGGCGGAGGAGGTATGTCTTAGATTGGCTTACACTTATACAAATAGGAAACTTACATTTGAATTATCCTTGAGTAGATCAGTAACATTATATTCTAGGGATTTATCCTGCAACAAATATTGAAGTTATTTCAATCAATTTGATCTCTTGGAAATACATGCCCTCCTAGAAAATGCCTACATTAGAGCTGTAATGAGTCATTGAATGAATACTTTACCTTAGTAATAGAGAAGCTTTATTGAGTGATATGATGAATACTTTGCGTTAGTAATAGAGAAGCTGAATGAGTAATTGGATGAATACTTTGCGTTGGTAACAGAGAAACGTAAGTACCAAGAAGTGCCTTGAAATAAAAAATATTTGATGTCTTGTAGACTGTAATTTGAATTGACGTAGCACAAATTTGGTTTAAGAAAATTGGTTTCTTTTTGAACTTTTGTTGAAAGGATTTTACTCGCTTTTCTACAGTAACGAGGAATTTTACTTATTTTACAGAGGCAGGGCACAACAGCTGATGCTTCAGAAGATAATGCAGATGATTCTGCTGAACGTTTTCAGAAGCCTTCCTCGGTTGGTATAACACGAGAAGTTGAAGAGAGCGGAAAAATCGGTTCAAGAAAAAACAAATTCCAGAAAGAAATGACCGATACTGGAGCCGTTGGCCAGCAAACTCTGGACCCTGTTGATTCTAAAGTTTCAGGGACCTCTACATCTCAAATCTCTGAAGCTTCTGAATTTAGCAAGTTGACTCCAAGCAGTTCACTTCCTGATGATCACAAACCGCAGCCTGCTGATGTTGTGTCAGAAGGAATAAGTAGTGGCAGTAGAGACAGAGCTATTGAATTGAAACGAGAACATGTGGTCTCGGAAGCAGAAAAAGATGTTTTGGAAACGAAGCCTGGATTCCAAGAGCCATCAAAGCCTTGCAGACCTGTTCCGCACACGTTTTCAGTATATGGAAGGCCTAAGATGGTAGTATCCATTGGAAAATCATCGTCTAGTTCAGCCACGGAAAAGTCTACTAGGTGCGATGACAACCCTAAGCCCTCAACTTCTAGGAATTCTATCCGTGAGTCGAAGGAACAGCCAAGTGGTGGTGATGCTAATGCTAATGATGAGGACTGTGTTTCCAGTGATGCTACTCGAGAGCGAGATGAGGATGATGAGCCTTCAGAGAAAGCTCTGAAAGAACACCCTAAATTCTCAATTACCTCTACCAAACCAAACCGTACTTCCCATTCTTCAGCTTCCAAGACAAGAGAGTCTTCCTCTTCGTCAAAGGCATCTTCAGCAGCTCGGGTTAATGGTGGTTCTTCCGAGGCTCCTGGTAAACATTCGCTTTCAGGGACCATCCAGAAAAATGAAAAGCCTGGACAATCACTACCGCAGTCATTAACTAAGAACCATGTGCAGTCTATAACATACCTTGCTCCAAACTTGAGCGACGAAGAGGTGCGTGAGATATACAATCCATTCTCTTTTTCGTTTGTTATTCCCTCTTCTCCTACAGTTTGACAATTTTTTATTTTTGTTTCTTCAAAAAATTGCCAGCTTGCGTTAAGACTGCACCATCAACTCAACAGCTCTCCTCGAGTTCCTCGTGTCCCACGCATGAGACAGCCTGGTAGCTTGCCCCTGTCTCCAACCGCTACAAGTTTCAAGCGCACTTCTAGTTCCGGTAGCAAGGATCACACAACGGTATGATATATTTTCTATCATTGTCTGTCTTTTTAAGGAGATGCTCTCTTTAGGCCCAAGCTTGTTTGCTGATGATGTGTTTATTTGGCTAGTTTTCCAGAAGGAAGAACAAGGACGCATCAAAAGAAGGTTTACGCAATTCTCGTGATGATGATAGATGTAGTACGAGGAGTAGCAAAACGCGTCGCTCCCCTGATTGGAGGACACAGCAAGAAAGTGGAAGCAGAGGTACCAAAGGGGAAGAAAATGAAACCCCAAAGACCTCTTACCCTTCTCGGAAAGTACTTCTCCCACCAAACTCGAACACAAGCACAAGTAGCGGACCGAGCTCATCCAGTGAGTTGAATGAGCATAATAAGCCATCTCCACACCGCTCACCAAGGAACAAAGGTACTCCAGTGCATCGAACTTTGCCAGGCTTAATCAATGAAATCATGAGCAAAGGCAAACGGATGACATACGAGGAGCTCTGTAACGCAGTCTTGCCGGTATTACTACATCTCCTTACCAAATTATCTCTAGTAGTCACTTTTGGTTACATAATAGCTTGCTCTAATGTTGTTGTTGGTCTCTCTATCTTGTAGCACTGGCCTCACTTGAGAAAACACAACGGAGAACGATATGCCTATTCAAGCCATTCACAGGCTGTTCTTGATTGCCTAAGAAATAGGCATGAATGGGCTCGTCTGGTTGATCGTGGCCCCAAGGTTTTTTTAGCTTTTAACTCTCACTCATTTCTGCTGTCCTCAACATGTAGTAATGATCCTGAATAATAATGTTGCTTTTGCGGTTGTTTCAGACTAATTCAGGGAAAAAGAAACGGAAGCTTGATGCAGCAGAGGAAGAATCAGATGAGAACGAAAGCAGCAAGGGAGGAAGGAAGCAGCTGCGTCATCATCAAAATCACTCTCAAGGAGAAGAATTTCCCAAAGGCAAAAGAAAAGCAAGAAAACGGAGAAGGCTCGCTCTTCAAGGAAAAGGCATCAAAGTGTTGAGAAAGAAGAGAAACCAAGAAGCAGAAGAGGAAGTGAGTGAAGAAGACGAGGAAGGTGCGTTCTCGGACACAAGTGAAGAGAGTGTCTTCTGCGAAGAAGATGGAGAAGAAGAGGTTCCCACCACTACTGCTGCTGCTGCTAGAGAAGCCTCTGCTAGTAGCTCTGAGGAAGCTCAAGCCACTTCATGACTCTTCTCTCTATGTAATATATAAAGTATATATGTGTACTGTATGCATTATGTAGTTTTGTGTATTTACTAAAAAGACTAAAAAGCTTCTCTTGTGGTGATCAGAGCTTTGTAGAAAACTCAGAAAAATCACCTCTTTACTCAATAGACAATAATAATTGTGCTTCTTTAAGAGGGGTATATTGGGAATTATGGGATGGTTCTTTTCTGAGCTGTTAAACTTCTCCTCTCGTGTTTTTTTAAAAAAAAAAACTTTAAATTGAGGGGTATATTGTGTTGTTTTTAATATTAATTGTTTACAAATTTTCTTCTAGAAAATTAAAGACTTTGAGATCTTCGTGCGTGCTTATGATTTAACAGATATAAATGTAATATTTTGACTTTGTGAGATTAACTAAATCAAAGACAATTTACTTTTTAATTGACAAAACAACCCAATTATCGAAATTGTTTTTTGTCCATATTTCTCTATTGGCCTCAATAAAAGAGACGAAATAGATAATGGTAAAATGCAACTTTCTGTTGCACAAAAAAAAAAGAAGGTAAAATGCAACTTTCTCATAAGACAAAAATACCATTTATTTAACTGAGAAAAAAATAGAAAAAGGTGTTAATTTTCTAGAGGATGATGAAATTGAGTATACGCAAACAAGTTAAGAAAACTTAGAGGGAAAGGCAAATAATAGTAATAATATACTTTGCTCTCTTTGTCATATATCTCCATTGCTTCAAGAAAGTTAACACTGTAAATCTGGAAAAGGAACATAATTCCCAAAAACTGTTTATAATTTCATCCATAAACCATAAGTAGTAAGTTCAAGATAGAAGAAACTACTAGTAAATTCCAGATAAAATATTGGTATATCTTTTACTCTAAAAAAACTTAACAATAATAGAAACTTGACATATGTATGAAATTATGAATGTAAAAATGTATATTAATATAATAATATTAAATGAATAAAATGAATGAAAAAAAAAATGGCGCTTGGGATTGGCCGTTGTTTACTGGAGAAGAAGAAAGGGCATAAAAGGGATCGTGAATCTAACCAGAGTTTCTCTCCTTATCTATGCCGATTTCTCTCCAAGACGGTCTGTTTTCTTCTCTCTGTCTTCTTCATCTTCTTCCTTCAATCCAAGGTTCATTCGAGTATACCCTTTTTTCTACTTTCTTAAATTCTTCCTTGTCGTCTTTTGACAGAGGAAAAAGTGCTCCTTCGATTTCTCTCGATTTGGGTTTCCTTCAATTTCTCGAATTTTCTCGGTGTCTTCCGATTCCAGTGTACGTTAACATGTCGCTTTATTGTAATTCCGATTTGAAATATTTAGGGCGGATCTTTGATCTAATTTTTTTTTTTTTTTTCCCGTTGCTGTCGTTGATCGGTGTTTTTATTGTTGTAGTGTGATTTGATTAAGATGACCGTCTCTGATTCTGAATCCATGGTGGAAACCGGAGTTTGTGGTTTTCCGTCCACTCAAGAGGAGGAGAAACGTATCGTGACGGAGCTGATTAGCGAAGCGGAGGGTAATCTGAAAGAGGGAAACTTGTATTTCGTGATCTCTAACAGGTCTCATACTTTGTCTTCCTCCTTGTTTCTTACGCATTGCGATCTCTGCTTGCATTTAGTTTCTCAGTACTTGTAGACTTTAGATTTTACTTTCAGCACTTCATGGGCTCCTGATTTAGGGCAGCAAGCATCGTTGCATGATCTTCGATCCCTGGTTCATTGTCAGAAGATTTGTGGATTGCTTAAGCTTCTTGTAGAATTAGCACTTAATCGTTGAATGTTAAGATCTTAGGCTAATTGTCTGACATCAGATCGATCACTGTTGTAGATTTCTCCTTATTTAAATCTAGAGGGTGTCTCAGACTTTTGCCAGAGATTTTGTGTATATGTTATGAGTATCGGAGATGGTGATGAATAAATTTTTTGTTATCTTGTGTGTTTCTCCGTTTGTGTTGTTACTCTTTTAGCATCATTAGCCTAGTTTTGGCTGTATTTTTAACGTTTTTAACTGTTAGTGCAGGTGGTATACAAGTTGGCAAAGATGTGTTGGGCTACTAACAGAAGAAGTATCTAGTGGAGAGCCTTCAGAAGTTACCAGGCCCGGACCAATTGATAATCATGATATTATTGACAGTGAAAGTGCCGCTGGTGATCCGCAGCTTCGTAAAATGCTGGAGGAAAGTGTCGACTACGTTCTTGTTCCTGAAAAAGTTTGGAGAAAACTCGTGGAATGGTGATTGTTTCCTCTCTCCCTACTTAGTAATAGTATAGGGAACTATATGTTATAAAACCACCAGTTTATCATATCGTGGTTATTGATGTATCGTTTTATTGGGTTTAGTTACTATTATTGTCTGCATCGGAGACTAGCTTTTGAATGAAGACATGACTGATTTGCATATATTCTCGCTCTCCTCTTGCATCTACTATTAAGGGATGCTTTCAAAACGCTAATCTGCTTAATATCTTTCAGGTATAAAGGAGGTCCTCCAATACAGAGGAAGTTGATCTATCATGGGTTTTACAGTAAGAGCTACAGTGTGGAGGTTTACCCACTCTCCCTCAACTTGACAGACAGTAGAGACGAAAGCATTACCATCATAAGGTTGAGCAGACAGGTATGGTGCCCTCCCGTACTACTTTGTAACTGTGACTTTTGTAGTGTTTGTGAAAAGTGAAAGGTGTGCTTTAACTGTGCTTTGTTCCCTTCTGATATGGATTGTTAATGTGCCAGGCTTCTATAAGTCAACTTTATGAGACGGTTTGTGCTGTAAGAGGGGTATCAAAAGAAAAGGTAGATTTTCTCTTCTTCCTTGTATTGGGTGATGATATATCCCATTGTTTGATTCAAAGATGTAATGGTTGCTCCATGTTTGATATGTTTATAAGCAGGCTCGCATCTGGGATTACTTCCAGAAGAGGAAAAGCGTACTCTTGGATCCTTCATCTGAAAAAAACTTGGAGGAATCGTCCCTTCAAATGGACCAGGATGTAAGTGTCTTGAAATCTCTCTCCGTTACATGACATCTTTTGATGGATGGCCTTTGTCTTTTGCTTTATTATTGTTTATAGTTAAAGGTCACTGTGAAGATATTGTCTTCATGAATTGGATGGAACTCCTTGTATATATATGCTTGATCTATATTGTCACTAAACCAAAAAGCTCATTTTGGCTTGCCTTTATTTACCACAATTCTATGTGATTGACATAGATGTGTGTATTACATGTAGATTCTTCTTGAAGATGATGGGTCTGCGTCCTCTCAAAATGACATGAGCTCGGCGGGAAATGAGTTAGCTCTGGTACTTGTAGAGCCTTCAAAGTCAGATGCTACGAATAGTATGCTTGGTGAGGGGACTTTGTCTAATGGTCACTCCAACGGTTCCAAGTTTAGCCTCTTTGGGAGAAACACTTTTGGAGATGATGGTTGCGATTCCTCAAGTGCTTTTGGGAAAAGAGAGAGGAGAGGTTTAGGAGGATTGCAGAATCTGGGTAACACATGCTTCATGAACAGCACTCTTCAGTGTTTGGCACATACACCGCCTATTGTCGACTATTTTCTGAAAGATTACAGCGAGGATATAAATGCAGATAATCCTTTGGGAATGCGTGTAAGTAACCTGAATCGGTCTCGGTTTATATTCTCCCATGTGAGTTTATTTAAACGAATATGTAATGTCTAATGTGCAGGGTGAGCTTGCTCTTGCATTTGGTGAACTATTGAGGAAACTGTGGACATCTGGACAAAACACAGTGGCACCACGCGCTTTCAAGACAAAACTGGCTCGATTCGCACCACAATTTAGTGGTTATAATCAGCATGATTCTCAAGTAAGCCATATGCTACAAATTGACAAAATATGTTTTATATTGGCGTTTCTGTTGGCTTTTTACTTCCTCTTCTTTATCTCATTAAGTAAGATATGTAAAAACTCATTGTTTCCAGGAAATGCTTGCATTCTTGTTGGATGGGCTTCATGAAGATTTGAACAAGGTTAAGCAAAAACCTTACATTGAAGCTAAAGATTCAGATGGTCGACCAGATGATGAAGTTGCCGAAGAAAAGTGGAATTATCACAAGGCCCGAAATGATTCTGTGATAGTTGATGTCTGCCAAGTAAGATTTTTTTTTTTTACCTCCCTTGTGTACTCTTATAATTATTGAAAGTTTCTTCACCTTCTTTGTCTGTTCTGACTGTTACTTATCCTGTATGTGTATTGTGTTTTCACTTCAGGGACAATACAAGTCGACATTGGTCTGCCCAGATTGTGGAAAAATCTCAATCACGTTTGATCCCTTCATGTACTTAACTTTGCCATTGCCATCAAGTCGTACTCGATCAATGACAGTTGCAGTTTTTTACGGTGATGGAAGCCATCTTTCAGTGCCATACACTGTAACAGTTCCTAAAGACGGTTCTTGTAGAGATCTCAGTAATGCACTAGCTACTGCTTGCGGTTTGAACAATGATGAAAGCCTTTTACTCGCAGAGGTAATAATTTTGGCAAGTCCTTTCGTATATAGTTTCCGTTGGCTTTAACTTCTTGTAAAAAAGACTCGAACTAAACTGTGGGATTTCTCTCTCAGGTTTATGATCACAAGATCTTTAAATATTTTGAGACTCCCCTGGAATCGCTGACTATGATAAAAGACAATGACCGTGTTGTGGCATATCGGTTCAATCAGATGCAGAGAGGACCAGGAAAAGCCAAACTTGAGATTCTTCACGGGGAGCAGAGAAAGTCAGCTTGCGAAACTTTTACTAAGTCATTTAAGAGCTCTCTTTTTTACCTTCTTGAATGCATTATAACGTTGGAATTTCACAGGTCTGATAGTGGCGGAGACCCAAAGCTTTTTGGAACTCCCCTTGTTACATATGTCAACACAGAACCACTTAGCGGAACTGACATTGATGCAATTATCTCTGGATTGCTTTCACCTCTACGCCGGACTCAGTCATCATCTATAGTTACTGCTGGAGAGGAAAACGGCCACATTCCAGATGTTGCTGATGAAACATCTGGAAACTTATCATCTAGAGGCACTGAAACAGAGGATATTGCAGTTAATGATAGAGAGTTATCCTTCAGTCTCTTCTTGACAGAATACTATTCTTCCGGTCTCAAGCCACTCGAGTCCGATTTAGTTGTGAATCCTCGTAGTGCTACAAGGGTTGTAGTCAAGTGGGACGAGAAAGAGCATGAGAAGTATGATTCCAGCTGCTTGAATGATCTACCTGAGGTTCATAAAACGAGTTTCTCGATGAAAAAGTCAAAGCAAGAGGAAACTTCTCTGTTTTCGTGCTTGGAAGGCTTTCTAGCAGAAGAGCCTCTCGGACCAGATGATATGTGGTATTGTCCTGCTTGCAAAGAACACAAGCAAGCGAATAAGAAGCTAGACTTGTGGAAGTTGCCTGATATTCTTGTGATCCACCTGAAACGGTTCACATATAGCAGATATTTTAAGAACAAGATTGATACATTCGTGGATTTCCCTATTCATGATCTAGATTTAAGCAAGTACGTGATGAACAAAGACGGCCAGTCATATCTTTACGAGCTGTATGCCATCAGCAATCATTACGGTGGCCTAGGAGGCGGTCACTACACTGCTTACGCTAAGGTATTGTGCCATTGAATTGGTCTTTTCTTCTTTTCTTCTTTTCTGTTTTGATTTTGCTTTCCTCATACGTGGAAACTAATGTGTGTGGGCTGTTTGTTTGTGCAGTTGATGGATGAGAACAAATGGTATGATTTTGACGACAGCCATGTTTCATCTGTAAATGAATCCGACATCAAGACTTCGGCTGCGTATGTTTTGTTCTACCAAAGAGTGAGAAGTGAAGCAGAGGCATCGAATATGGATGAGGATTAGTTTGAAAAGGCCCTTCATTCATCAGGATTCATGACAAAAAGCTTGTTGCTTTGCTCAAGATCCATATATTGGTCTCATGGTTTAATGTTTTTCTTCTAAGACGGATTGACTCAAAGAGTTAGATTCTAAAGATTGTTTGATTAGTTTACCTTTTTCCCACTCTGAGGGAAAGTTTTGGGCAGTGAGAAAAACAGATTATTTAGAATGTCTTAGGTGGGAAAGAAATTGGCGTATTGCTGTTCTTACCTGCGTTTAGATATTCAAAAAGCATTAGTTATTAATGACTACTTGTTCTTACAATTTAATGGTGCAACAGGTTATTTGGTTTGGTCTGAAGGTCTAAAACTAATATTACGGACTTCAGACCTAAAATTCGTACTGATTATCTTTGTCTTTACAATCAAAGAAAGAGAATCAACTTCTTTGATATCGTGTCATTAACAAAAGTGTGTAAACTTTTACGGATTTTTTTTTCTTAAATTATGTTTTTCAGCAAGTTTTTTGGTAAAAAGTTTACAGCTTTATTATTTAACGAAAAATTCATAAAATTAAATTTTTTAACTGGTAGTTTTTTGGATCATATTTTCAATATAATTTTTTGGTAATTTTTTTATGGATTTATTTTTTGGCGAGAAATTCTCAAAATCAAATTTTTGATAAAATGTTTTTAAAATCATATTTTTGATATAATAAAAAAAAATTTTGATGAAATTTACGGAATCAAATTTTTGGAAGAAGAATTTCTTAATTTTTATTAAAATCAAGGAAGCTTTGAAAAAAATGATTAAAAATTTTACAAAGAAAACATGTACTCTTTTTGTGCAAAATTTTGATAAAAAAATCTCATACCTAGAAGTGAAGTACTATATATCATCTTAAAAGAGTTGTTTAAAGACCAAAAAAATTAAAGAAGCATATGAATTGTTCTTTAGTTTACCATGGAAAGGAATTCATATTGATATAAAGATCTACAATATGATGATCTATGGAGTATGCAAAAGAAGTATCATATCAAAGGCTGAGATGATTATCTCAAAGCTCATACATGGGGGTTTTCTCGCAGACAGTTGCAGTTACAATCCATGGATTATAGCTTATATCAGAAATGAAGATATGACTATAATTGAAAGGCTTATAATACAAATGCAAATCAATGAGTTTTAAACAGAAGAATACATAAGATTTACGATTAAAGATATGAAATGAGAGGGAAAACTGCTATGTTATCCAATTCATATTCAGTTAAACTATCCGTTAGACAGTTTTGATTAAAAAAAATTGCATTGTGTATGTGTTTCTAAAATACGATTAACTCGAAACCTAACAATTTAAATTCAAATTATACACTGATATACAAATCTTTTTTTAAAAAAATGTTATTTTTCTTATATGTTCGTGAAAATAATAGGACTTATCAAAAGGAATTTACATGGGTAGAACAACTACTATCCATCTGTCCTACACTTACTTAACTTGTTTGTAACAATTATAAAATATACCAAATTTAGTATTAAAAACACAGTTGTAAAATATATAATAAATTTATATAAACAAAAATAAGAATTAGGATAATTATCTTGTGACACTTCTTAACAATCAATTCAGCAAATAGAAAAATAGATTACTGAAAGAAGAAAAACGGAGGCTAGTTAATAAATATAGTCTAGACGTCCAAATTGCCGACAAAAAACGTCCAAATTAGTGAATGCTATCAGATTGTGAATCTAATCTTTTGATTGATTACTACTTTAATTTCTTTTCCGAGCTATTTTTGCAATAATCATAACTCATAGTTTAGATGTGACACCTACTTTGTTCGTGGAACAAAAATATTCACAAATACTCCATGGTTAAGTAATTCACACAACATATAAACAAAGTAGTCTCAACTCTGAGATGAATCTTTTTTTTTGTTCTCAAAATCTCACATTTCTCTCTTTCAATCTTCCTTCAATGGAGCTTCTTCATTCTGCAACATTTTCAAGCAAACAAAAGCTACTCATTGTAGTGACCATTGCCATACCTCTCTTTACCATCATCCCTCTTCTCTAACCATGAAAACTCGAAAGTAGATAAACCCTACATCTCTGGATTATCAACTCTTCATATCAGCTCTCCATCAAAGAATTTACATCAATTGTTTCGTCACCGGCTTCATCCAGAATTTTCATGATCTCATAATTTCCAATCGTTTCATCCTCATCGCCAAAACCAAAACCAAGATCATCTGAAGGAAACTGTTCTTGGTTTAGCATCATCATAACGTTGTTGGTGTGGGTGTCGTTGATCTGCAAAGGAGGATGAAGAAGAAACGATTCATCTTAGCTCTTGCTCTTGTTCTCCCTCTTGCTTCATCTCAATCTTATTAGCAAAATCAACTACTTCTTCTTGCTCGATGTTGTTGTTCTCCACGTGAGTGAAAACGAGCCCAACGTTGAGTTTCTTGGAACACATCATCATCCTTAGGAAGTGAATACTCTGTCATGAGCCAGTTAGTCTTCTTTGGAACTCCTTTCACTATCATCATCCTTAGGAAGTGAATATTCTTGTGATCCACCTGAAACGGTTCACATATAGCAAATATTTTAAGAACAAGATTGATGCATTTGTGGATTTCCCTATTCATGATCTAGATTTAAGCAAGTACGTCATGAACAAAGACGATCAGTCATATCTTTACGAGCTGTATGCCACCATCAGCAATCATTACGGTGGCCTAGGAGGCGGTCACTACACTGCTTACGCTAAGGTTTTTTGCCACTGAATTGGTCTTTTCTTCTTTTCTGTTTTGATTTTGCTTTCCTCATACGTGGAAACTAATGTGTGTGGGCTGTTTGTTAATTTATGCAGTTGATGTATGTTTCTACTCATCTGGATAAATGCAGCCACATTCTTGACTGGTACATCAGCAGTTGAAAGCGTCGCAATGCCTGCGATTCTAAAACACGTCGGACTCATCGGTTGGGGCGCAATAGCCTTTGATCTCTTGTCCTAACCTCCTACGTTGTCTTCCTCGTCGCTATTCTGAGTTACATTTGCGTAGGAGATGGCAATGAAAACTATTACAGCTACATTTAAAGAGACAGACAAATTCTTCATCATTGGTTGATCAACTTTGAAGCTCAAAGTCTCAGCCTTTTACTACATCTTGGGTTCCCCATTGATGCTTCGGAAAGAAAGCGGCTTGTTCCGACGGATCGCTCCTGGATTAGTCACGAGACTTCTATTATTGGATTTTCACAAGTTTAGGTTTTTTTGTTTGTTTGTTTCAAAGTGTATGTATGAATGAATGGCGTAAGATGAGAGTTTTATATGGTTTGGTTTGGCTTTGGTTTATTAGTTGGGAACAAAGTAACATGTTTTCCTATATTTACAAATTTGGAATGAAGAAGGATCTTGATGCGGTGAGACTCCCATCTCTCTTGATCACGTTGGAAGGTTGGCGAATGAGGAAGTCTTAATTAAAAAACGTGACTAGGTTGATTAGAGATCACCAATGCTAGAGACTTACGAGTCATGAACCCAGAAACAAACCTCTAATTGTTACACACAGAACAAAGGAGGAAAAGAGAATTGACTGAACTTTTCAAGACTATTATTAAGTCACTGACATTTTCTCTAGACCAATCGGGGTTGAATTCAGTGAGCCAACGGAGTGATGAAGCTCACGTAAAACCAGTAAACGAGTGACTCTACGTTACAAATATAATGAAAGACAACTTCATCCATCATATGTATATAAAAACTTAATTTCTTATTAAGATAACCGGAGAAAAATACAAACTAAATAGAGTTTGGGGGAGAAAAGGAAGCAACCAGGTTTTGATACCTGTAAATTAATCATCATCTGAAAGACATAGACGCAGAGCATCAAACTTGTTTATGTCCTTAAACGTAAGACGATTTCCTTGCAGCTGAGCTTTTGAAGATGATGATGTTGTTGATGTTTTCTTCCTAATATTAAACCTAAGATCCTCTACAGCATATGTTGTCTTCAAACCATCAAACGTGCGAGGTTCTGGGGGGTCTTTCTTCATAATATTAATCCTCAGATCCTCTACATGGTCTAGAAATACTTGAACTCTTTGGTTATAAATGCCAAACTGGTTACCTTTGATTTCAAATCTTTGGAGAGCGTTCCTTTCGGGATTGAGGTAGTACACATGAAACGGTTTACGTGAATAGAAATTGGAGAAAACAATTTCACCTGAAGCTGTCACTCCAACAACGTCAACAACTGAGTAGGCGAGTTCATTATGGGGTAAAGTGTTCGGACCATTCTTGTTTCTCAAAATCCTCTAGAACCCACTCCCATAGCTTCGACACGCAACGACACCTCCCTATTATCTTCTGAGGCAATCTACAGAATATCTCTAGAAGGAGATTAAGAGGGACTGAATTCATTGATCGTTGTATTCTGCTGATCGGAGAGACTAACTAATATATATAGAGTTCGAAATCGAACCAAATCAAGGTTTGGTTAATTTGGTTCTATTTCGGTTTAAATGCATTAAACAAATCGAAACGTTGGTTATTTTGTCTATTAGTTTGCTCAGCGTAATTCTAATATGTGTGTGTCTATTTTTGGTTTCCTTGAGGCTTTTAAGTTTCCTGTCTCCAAATCCCTATTGTTACTACAAAACCGCAGAACAAAATTCATTTTCCTTCACCACCTCAAATACAGAATTAGGTTGTAAAATAACCTTTGACGGTTCGTCCTCTCAAGGAATACCCTTGAACCAGAGCTTTTGTAACTGACTGTTATAAAACCATAGCCAATAATTAAGGTAGATTATATCCTACTGTATATATGTTATAAACTGTAACATCCAATGTATGAATATTCTTATTATAAAATTCATCGATTCTTTAATTTTTCGTGCTTAATTATTGGCTATGGCCTATGGTTTTATAATATAGAATAAGAACAAAAATTCATGGGTATAGAATAAGAAAGAACATTGAGAACAATTCATGTTTCAAAAATTAGATGACATGATGAAGCAGATGAATTTAATATAGAGAAAATCGTTTAAAATGATCCACAGGGAAAATATTGTCAAACATCATAGATTTTTTTAAAAAATAATTTTAAATATCAATGCTATTCTTTTAATCAGAATCTGTATTAATAGTTTAATTTTTTTTAGCTACTATTCTTTAAATTATAAAAACTATAATAGATTTGTAGATTGTATAAGCGAATTTAAAATATAACGTATAATTTTTTTTTTAATAATTCAGAAAATCTTAGATCTATAGAAGGCCCCAGACTAATCCCTAGGGGAGGTGCTGCACATGAATAGACCATCTCTTTTGGATATTTATACTACAAAAAAACAGTTCATTAGCGATGGAAAAAATGGCCGCAAGTCCATCGAAAATCGGCAATCATGGCAGAATTGCGACGGAAAACAAAATGTCGCAATTTCTTA